TCATCAACCTGTACACCATCACTTCAGAAAAAGAGGGAAGAGACCGTCACAGACTATGTCATTAGAGCAGAGGCCGCCATTACAGCACTGCGCAATGCGGGTGAGACTTTAGGTGATGGATTATTGATTGCTATGGCTTTAAAAGGACTACCTGAAAGTTTTAAGCCATTTGCAATACACGTTACTCACGATAAAGACGATATGACATTTGCCGAGTTCAAAACAAAGCTACGGAGTTTCGAAGACACTGAAAAGTCAAGCGCTTCGGGGTGTAGCGACAACGTAATGAAAACAGGAGGAAGAACTGGGCGTGAGCACACGAGATCCAGCGCACAATGCAGATACAAGAGCGATGTGGACATTGTGTGTTTCAAGTGTGGACTAAAAGGCCACCGAGCAAAAGTGTGCAGATGGAGGACGTGGTGCAGTCATTGCAAAAGCAGCACACACAGTGATACCACATGTAGACATAAAGACAAACAAGATGGCGCGCGGAAGGTCGCAGATGAGAGCGGCAACGGATCCAAAGCAGAAACGTCGGATTATGCCTTCAGGATTAAGGGCGTAGACATCAAAGTCCAGCAGTCAGCGTACAACATTGAGGAGAAAGGCCTGTTGGTGGACACTGGGGCTACCTCACACATCATTAACAGCATCGCCAAGTTCAAGAGCTTCGACGACGCGTTCAGACCGGAGTCACACAGCGTAGAACTGGCAGACGGTACCCAGTGCAGAGGCGTCGCCCAACAGAGGGGGGACGCAGAGGTGTTCCTGATTGACAGTACAGGCCAGCGACGCAAAGCAACGCTGAAAGATGCGCTGTTTATTCCATCATACCCCCAGAACATATTCTCTGTAAAGTCAGCTATTGCATTAGGAGCAACAGTCACCTTTAAACAAGGGCAGGACATGTTGACCCACAAAGACGGTACTAACTTTAACATTCATGTGTATGGCAAGTTGTACTATTTGCAGACTGAAGTTGAGGGTAATGATAAGTGTAACACCTGTCACAACATACAGGCATGGCATGAGATATTAGGTCATTGCAACTATGAAGATGTAGCAAGATTGCAAGGTGTGGTTAACGGTATGCAGATTAAGGGGAGAACCGATAGACCTGAAAAGGAATGTGAAGTGTGTATCCAGGGAAAGTTTGCACAAACCCGAAACAGAGATCCTAATACAAGAGCAAAGGCTCCTTTACAAATGGTACACACAGATTTAGCAGGTCCGATAGCCACTGAATCTATTGATGGGTACAAATATGTCCAGTCATTCACTGATAATTATTCAAACTCAGTGTTTGTATATTTCCTGAAGACGAAAACTGATACAGTGCAGGCAACAGAGAAATTTCTAGCGGCTGTTGCACCATATGGCAACGTAAAATGCATTAGATCAGACAATGGGACAGAGTTCACATGCAGAGATTTCCAAACCCTGTTAAGGAAAAATGGCATTAAGCATGAGATATCAGCCCCGTACTCACCCCATCAGAACGGTACAGCCGAGAGGGGGTGGCGTACTCTTTTCGAGATGGGCAAGTGCATGCTAATTGAGAGTCAGCTACCGAAATTGTGGCGCCCTGAGTATTTTGAGCATTAAGAACAAGTCTCAGATGTGTTCCTTATGTGTTCGTGCCCACCCCCCATCATCTTTTTTTGCTATTTGTTGTGACAATAGTTTGCATCATAACACAGAGTGAAAAGCTCATTTGCTCCCACCTGATGTGATGTTAGGGCGATATTTAGTTTCGCCAGTAGATGGCAGTGGCGGCTCAGCCAAACAGGTAACTGGCAAAATAATCCTTCACAAAAGTAACGCAGGCCAGTTATTACAATGGAAGCCGCCAGTAACGAATAAGGGAGTTGTTTCACGTTATCTGTGGGTAATGCTAATAACATTTGTGCGCTAGCTAAGTCATGTTAGCCTCCTGCATTAATCTCTGTAACCGTGTTGTTCCATCAGTAAGGTGAAAGGAAACTGTTAGCTGGTTTCAGTTAAAGTTATGGGAAATGGACCAGCCAGTACATGTTATGTTGTCTATTGTTTACTGGTCATTTTCTCTGTGTGTTAAGGGCTGATTAATACATGGCCAGTGGGAGACTGCGGCACCCACGGTGTGGGACGGAGAGATTTCGCAGGTCTTTCCTCCCCACTGCTGTCAGACTCCACAACAAAGACTTTAACTGAACAAACACACACATCCACACATGTGCAATAACACTAAGTGCAATAATCTTTTCTGGCATCGTTGTATTTTTACTCAGTTGTATATAGTATTCGTATTCTATTTTTATCTTATTGTATATTTTTATTCTATTTTATTCTACTGTATATAGTATATTATTTTATTCTATTCTGTACAGCTGTGTACTGTATTTATTCTTATTGTATTCTAATTTTTGCGTCATAACTTTTGCACTGTCCACTTCCTGCTGTGACAAAACAAATTTCCCACGTGTGGGACTAATAAAGGTTATCTTATCTTATCTTATCTTATTACACGTAATGCTACAAAAGTAACGCAGGCCAGTTATTACAATGGAAGCCGCCAGTAACACTGAATTGTTTTGCTGTGTTTCAGCGCAATAAATCTTCATGTGCACCTGAATGAACCCTGTCGTCCTTCAGTGTGTAACAAAATGCCTATGGAACTATGCCATTCAAACTGCTGCTGTAACACGGAACAGATGCTTTAATAAGCGAACAGGGAAAACACCCTGGACATTAAATATCATTTTGTAAGGAACATTGTAAATGAAGAGAAAATGTGTCTGTTATATTGCACCACTGAATAAATGGTTGCAGATGTTATGACCAAACCTGTTTCTAAGCTAAAACTTGCTAAGTTTGCTAACGTTATGTTTGGTGCTTAAAAGAAAAAAGAGAGAAAAAGAAAAAAGGAAGTGTGGTAGAGATTGTACAACTGTTTATCGTTTATTGTACAACTTTTCTTTGATTCCAGCAACCTGAGTACAAGAGGGGGTGTTAAGATATTCATTGTGTGTACTCATGTTGTACAGTGTTTAACTGCATTATGGTTACTGTGGTTTAACAGAGACAGTATTTTAGTTGTCACCACAAGGAGGCACTGTTTCATCGTAAGAGCACGGATGCTGCGTCATCACGCCCCTAAAAAAAAAAAAGTAGACCACAACGAAAATGGCACCCATGAGAAAAGTTTTGCCGCGTGTTGATGAGGAATAAAGTTCCCAAAATATTAAGGACATTTTTGCCTCCGTCGTCATTTTCCTTCGAGTTGATCGCTGTCGATGCTGCAATACTCAACACTCGTCCACACGTAAACGCAAAAAAAGAGTTTCAAAAATCGCAGTTTTCGGTGATTCGAAACACGGTTTACGTGTGGACGAAACAGCTGTGTTTTTCAAAAATACCCGTGTAGGTGCGTAAAAGAGTTAGTAGTTTATTTTATTACTACCTGTAATTTATTGCAGATTACTTGTATTTGCTTAATTGTTTACTAAATGTTTGAGGTGTGAAATAAACCGCAATGGAGCAAAATATGGGTGTGTGTGGTTGGAGGATGTGTTTGTGCGCGCGAACATTTTTCTTGTAAAACAAAGGGGGGCCCAGCAAAAAAAAAAAAGTTTGGGAACCGCTGATCTAAGTGCATGATGATATTGCTTGACATATGACACTCAGAGGTTTAGGCTTCAAATTTCCTCATGATGTACACAAAGGAAATCATTCAAATTTTATCAGGCACAGATGAGTGGGTCTCTTCTGCTCTATCCTGAACTGTAAGGACATTTTTAATTGCAAGTTGGAGAATGATCACTTGGATAATGCCAAGAGTTCTCAGGTCAATGAAGCAGTTTTTGAGAATATGACTTTTTTTTCATTAGGGTCGAACTATAAAGAATTTCCTGTATAAATAAATGTACCAAGAACTCTTGTAAGGAGTGTAGACTGTTACACTTGCAACTGAGTATTTATTTATAATGACAGACAGATCATCGGTTTGCAGCATGTCACTTTAAACAGGAGATCATTATGACAAAAAGTAGTTACATGGTTTTTGTGACAGTTTACAATATAAATGATAGGTTTGTAGCGTAAACCTATTCGCTGGAACGTTAAGGACAATTTAATTACACAGCAAAACAAGACACGAGTAGGCAAAGTTCTTCATGTTTCTCGTGCACGGGAGAGAACCGAACAAACGCCGTTCCTTCGCTTGACCCCAGTTGCTCTCGCCCGCTCCCCCATAACACTGCTCTTTTATTGAGGTTACATGAATATGCATAGGTTCATTAACATATGACGTCTACATACAAACAAAGAGTACTTTGCCTGTGTATGTGTGTGTGTGTGTGTGTGTGTGTGACCCCATAAAGACTTCCCTAACCCTGTTGGTCTGGAAGTCCAGCAGTTCATTTAAACAAAAGGCACTTAGACTAAAACAGATATAGCTACGTTCATCCTACCGTAAAACAATAAGACAAGGTACGACCTCTCCCATGCTCCCAGAGTGCTCTGGAATGCACACAAAGTTTGCAGACTATTAAGGATCAAACCTCTACCAATCTAAACTAATTATAAAACTCTAAGCATAAATGACAATCAACAATACAAATCTAACAATAAATGCTCTGGTTTGTTGGATTAGATTTTAATATTTAGAAATATTATCATTAAGACCAGTTTATAAGTGTAAGTGCACAAAGACAAAAATATTGCAAAGATAAAAAATAAACAGCAAATATTAAAACCAAAACTAACATTGTTTCTGACATCCAACAACAAAAGTGCAACAATGGAGTAATGAAGCAATAATAAAGAAAGTAAGTAAATATGATATCACTGAATCAGGCAGTCAAAAGGAAACTATATTTACTTTAGTGAATATCAGATATTGCCAATTTTGTGCTGGTTACAACAATGTTTGTTTGTTTTTTTTGTTTGTTGTTTTTCTATTAGTTGAACTTTTGCCAGTAAAAAAGAAAAAGAGCCAGTGACACACATCAGAAATCTTATTTAAAACAAACAAAATTATATTTCTCATTGTCTCTCTGACTGACCCACTCGTACTGTCCTCCACTCTGCATGCCCACAGCCCTGCCACAATCCTCAGTCTTTCCCTCTCTGCTCCACTTCTCATAACAGACCAGCTTGTCATTGATCCAGAACCACAGATCCAGAGTGCAGGAGTAGCGCAGGCTGAGCCAGACAAAAGGACTCGAGGCATTCTTGGCTTTGTCTTGGACCCATCCCTGCTCTTGAAGGTTAGTGATGGAGACCAGTCCCCTGTGAGACTCTCTACAGTAATCCAAGGCCTCCTCCCAGGTTTTGTTTTCTTTGATCAGGATCAGTTTATCTGCCATAAAGAAAAAACAACACATTCAGTTGAATCTATGTGAGCTGTAAACATGAGAAACTCTCTGCGCTGTTTATTTTGTTCCAATTTAAAAAAAAAACCTAGAAAAAGCTTGTGTGTTGCTCTGCCCTCAGTAGAAACCAGTATAATAACAATAATGAACTTTGTGCAGACAGGTCGACAACATCCTGAAATATTTGTGTTTTTAAACTTTTAGGAATCCAAAACAACTTCTCTCCATATTTACAGACAACAGAGACTTTAAAACGTTGGTTGAACCTACCAGTAGCTCAAAGTTATCCCACAGATATTTAAAGTCATCTGACTGTCAACTAAGTGTGTTCATGTTTATGAGATTAATTCAGCAAACATGCAGATGTAGGAGGAGGAAAACTATACAACATGTTCAGCTGGATCTTGTCAGTGATTCCAGTGATCCTCCTTTTAGAGAAACCAGTCAGACACATGTTGATAAAAACTCACCATCATAACAGAAGAAGGGTTTTTCTTTGCCACATTCATCAGAGCTCCATTTTCCTGATCTGTTTAACAGAGTCATAGCACATGTCTTGCTGTTTTGTTCATCATTGAATAACTGCATATCCCAGTATCTGAAAGAGGAATTACTCCCATCTGACCACCTCCAGCTGTCTCTGAACAGACCGACCCATGCGGTAAACTTGAAGTCCTCATTCTTAATCAGGGCCTTCATTTTTTCTTCATCAACCTGATCGAGTCCACTGGCCAAGTCAGTGTGATGGTATCTGCAGTAGCTCTGAGCCTGTGTCCAGTTCATAGATGTTTTTATCAAATACAATGTTTTATTGTCTTTCTTCATTTCTGTAAAACAAACAGAAAAACACACAAAGACATCCCTCAATAAATTTTCTTGTGAAATTCTGTCTGTCTCTATCTTCTTAAGTTAGTATTATGATATTCCATTATATTTTTATATCATGATATTATAATAACATTTCATATTATTCACATCTCCTCACCATCGTAGCAGATGAACCACATTTTATGGTCACATGAAACATCTGCCAGCTTTTTAGCTCCCTTATCGTATCTTTTCCTCCCACAGTTTCCAGGCTGCTCAGTACCAGTTCTTCCATCCAGATTCCAGCTGCTGTCATTATGAATGTATTCCACTCCTGGCAGAGACCAATGCCACGTCCTGTTTCCACCTGTGTTGTTGTTCAGTCCAATCCAGGCTTCTCCTTGATTCTGTGCGGAGTTACGGAGTCTGCTCATGTCTGTCATGTCAAACACTTTGGCCAGGTCTGTATATTTCTCTCTGCAGTATCTCTGTGCTTCAGACCAGCTCTTGTTTTCTGCAATAAAGTGGTACTCATACAGGCGGCATGTAAAGAAGCAACACTGACCTGAAATACAGAAATATGATATAGAGATTATGAGATTATTGAATTCACTTAAAAAAGTAAAAACAACAAAACGTGTGACGTCATAATCTCATTTTAATTTTAATTAAAAACTGTATATTTGGTGAAACAATCCACTTACCCATCAGAATAAGCAGATACAGACTCCACTGCATCTTTGATCTGACAGATGAAAGTGATGTTTTATTGCTCAAGGAAACAAAGATTTGAACAAAACTTCTTCGATGCACCTTTATGTCAGGAAAGAAAAGATGGATTAAACAGAAAGCAAGATAAAGAAAAATAGTGTGAACATTATGAACCAGAACAGAAATTAATTCATTTTTAATAATTCAGCAGCTCATGGAGAAGGTAATGAAACCATGAATTTTACTCATCTTGGAAGCTCTTGTCATTGTAAGCTCACAAGTCTTTCCAGTAAACGTCGTGCAAGATAAAAGTTTCTTTTTTGTAACACATGACAAATTATTTTAAATATTCTCTACACATCACCTCTGTATCACAATCATGAAATGATCTTACAGTTTTTAAACTTACATGTGATAATTTCTTCTCTATCCGACGTGTTCATGAAGACAACTCTCAGGTAAATATTTAAATACAGTATAGAGAGCTCTTTTTGTCCTGGTCAGGATTTGAATATCAAAATAAAAGTCTGACTTTCCCTCTGAATGAATGATCCACTGATGTGAGGGATTTTTAGATTCCAGTTATGAAAGATGTCATTTACATTATGAGAAAGAGAGACAGAGACAGATTCATCATGTGCTTGGTGAAATGATGCAGGACTGTTGGCCTACCAGGATAAAATTTCTGCTTCCTACATTTGAGTCATTTGAATAAATTTGACTACACAGCAAATCACTGGAGTTAAATATTCTGGAGTTAGGCATAAAAGTGCGCAAGAGTTACATTCCGGGAGTTTATTTTTCACCTTATACTACAGTCAGTGTTGGGGAGTACTCTAAAGCGGTGTAATATTTAGGTGTTCATTCACTGGGTGCTAAGGAGTCTAATTCAACACATTGCTGGTGTTGTTTGTCTGTCGACCGTTACAGCGCCTATCTGTGTTTCTTTCTTGGACTACGCCATGTAGGAGGTAAAAATACTTTATTTACTTTGGAATTTTCTGTGAGTGTAGTGATGTTATTTATATATATATATATATTCAGTTACATGGATGCACAAGTAAAATATAAAGTTAACTAACTAGCACTACATGTGTTTTCTGTATGTTATGCTGATTTGGAGATAGCAGCTAGGCTAATGCTAGTCAAAAGTTAGCTAACTTACTTATCTTACTGTATTTTAAGATACACATTTCACGTTGTCAATGAAAACGTTTATTTCTATTTCTTAATTTTAACACCAACGTTTAATTTAACGTTAGCTAACTACAGTAATATTCTGTTTAGACTCATGGTAATGGCCGTATTTAACCAAAGAGAGGTGCAGCCTGCACTGATGAGATGTTGAGGTACCATTAACATCAGTTAGTTAGTCCTGCTGCACACTGAGACATGCACACAACCCTGTCTCCAGAACTGTAAAGACAAGGACACAGCAAACATGCAGTCACATTGTCTGCTAAACCAGCCTAGCTAAATAGATTTTAAGCAATATTTAGTGTGGACAGGCTAACTCAATGTAAGACAGTGTTCGTTGATTAAGTTATACACAGTTTACATAGAGTTACCATATACAACCTCTTCTTCTTGTGTTGTGTTTCATAGTAGTAAAGGTATTTTTTTCCGTAGGTGGCCAAGATGTTGATAAAAGTAAAACACAGAGAGACAAAGAAATATTCAAAATTGGAAGAAGTCAGCTTCACAGATTTTGTGAGAGCAGGTAAGTTATGGTTTGTACTAAGTCATTAAAGAAGAAATGATAATGTTGTTATTAACTAAGTGATGATTTTACTTCAGTGCAGCAGAAGTTTCTCATACCAGAAAATGCAGCACTGAAAGTCACGGATGAGCAGGGTATAGAGGTGGATGAGGATATCTTTCCTGAACTTGCAGCAGTCAAAGAGGTGTGTTTTGTCATCGATACAGCTGAAGGTAAGTAAATATATGCTCTGATAGATTTTGAAGGATTTGATTTGTACAGTTACTCTTAAATAAACATTTTTAATTTGTCTAATATCCTGTGGTAACAATCACAAAATGCTGTTTTCATGGCTCAACAGTAAGTTGGATTTATCACATGCATTTCAGACATCCTGGAAACACAATCATCCAAGAAGCTGCGTGACTGCTCAGACCTAACACACTATGTGACACTCACACCTTGTGGTATGTAAATTGTATATTACCATAATAAAATACAAAATAACCATCTGTTCTCCTGGGAGAAAGTATAATTTAATCAAACCGTGCAATTTACTGGCCCTGTGTGCATAAATGGTATCTTTGTTGTGTTGTGTTTTTGATTGTATATACCTTGTATTCTAATATTTTTATTTGTCACCCTCAGATTTGACTGTCCTGAAGCAACATGTGGAAGAGCCCTCCTCTCCAAGTCTAACAGATACATTGTCTGTCTCAACCACCAGCAGTCAGAGCAGTGACACAAGTGATGCCGGACTTCAAATGGTTCAGCCTCTATTGGACAGCATACATGAAAGAAATGTAGATACAGTACTTAATTGACTTATACTTGACTCTTTAGTTGCCATTACTTGAAAAAGCTTAAACACGAAGATAAAACAGATTAGAGAAAAATAATTTAATATAGTATTTCATGTAGTTTGCTCTGCAACTGTAGTGTGTAATAAGACTTGCTCTCTCTCTCTCGCTCTCTCTCTGTTTTTGTTATGCATGTTAACCATGAAACGTGTTTCCATGATCAGTGTCCTGCTTTTCAGGTAAATGAAACCATTTTTAAGAAGATACTGGTCCTAGAAAGGGAGAAAGTAAGACATTTCAAATGTTTTGATTCCCAAATGTCATATGGGTGTGATTCACAATTTTATGTTCTGTGAGAGAGTTGCATTACTTAATTTGTTGGCTTGATGGAGACTTTACAGAGTCTTCCTCACGTTAACACTGCATTACAAGAAGTGCTTATTCTGTAGTCATTTTTTTCCTTTAATTCTGTTTTTTTTTTTCTTTTCGCCCAATGTTAGGCCTTTCTGACCTCAACTGTTTAGCTGCCAATAATGGTGGATATTATGCTATTACAGTACTGTTACACAGAATGTATGTTAATCCATGCAGCATTCATATTTGAATATGTTATTTTTGATAAATAAAATCCATACATTCATAATAATCACTATTGTGTTTTTGTAGTAATTTGCACCAAAAACCTAAAACTTTTTTCAATTGATGAGTAACACTACAAAAGAGTTAATATCAAACTTAACTCTAGTTATGAGTTAAATTTTACTCTATATGGTAGTAGAAATTTCACTCCGTGAGAGTTTAGTTTTAACTCCTATAAAGAGTTGAAAAATCAACTCCCGGAAAAGAGTTACTCTAACTCTGCACTAGAGTTCATTCGATGGTCACGCATGTACACTCAAATGTAGTTAATCTGAACTCCCTGAGAGTTTATTCCAAGGACCAGAATTTGCTGTGTATTAAGGCACACTGAGTATCTAACTCTACTTCTGCTTTTGCTCATAAACAAATTCTGTGCTGTGAGTGGGATCCAAACATGCTCAGTGAAATGATGTCTATGTTTGTGTAAGGCATACAGACTTTAACATGAGACCATCAGGCAGTGTCATAGAGGCTGAGATCTCTCGGCTCGACTCTGGCCAGAAATGAAGTGAAAAGATCAACATTCAGTCTTATATGTGATTTATAGATTATATAGATTAAGGAAATTGTGATTGACAGACCCAAAGTTTTAAAGAGATAGTAATGTCAAAGTGCAAAGTGACGTGCAGAGTGATGTCCTTTACAGCATATCTCATTTTTGGGGGTTCAACTGTGGTCCACAGATGGGGGAGAACTTTTTTTGACTCTACTTAATCTCTTGTGCATTATAACATCAGTGTTGTCATCTGTAGACCTCCATGGGGTCATTGTGGACGTCAAACTTTGACTCATTTTGGATGTCGTTTGTATACTGCCTCTGTAGGCTCTGTATTCACATGTTTCCAGAGGGTGGAGGACATGTTTTCTACATGCTAAGAGTTCATTTTTCTGTAGCTTTGTTTACATCTTTTTATGCGTCCCCAGTTATCATATGTGGCTGAGACAAACAAATGAAGTTATTGAAGAATTATCTGGAACATTATGCCACAGTATGAAATGGGACTAGATTATACAAGCTGAAGGAATGTAGAGAGATCAGCGGACATCTACAAGGTAGCGCAGACTCTTGACACTAAGACAAAAGTGAGCAGCTGCTCAGTGGATTTCGCAGACATGTCAAGTTTCTCACAGACAGTTTGTAAAATGATCAACAAAGACTGTTGAGCAGACAGTTCAGCAGACGTGCACAAACCTCACAACCACATTCATTTCCTCTTACAATCATCAGCTCTCCACAATAAATCAGGAAACTTGTAAAGATGAATCATATATAATTACTATATCTCTTAAACTTATTAAACACATTGTGCTCCTTTTAAAAGCAATTTCAAGAATTTTCTAAACACTTTAATTATTCTCATTTTACATTTTAATGGATTTTAACATTTTTAATATTTCAGTGCATTTTAATTTGTTATGCTCCTTAGTTTTTTCCCGTTTTGTATTATTTATCTTTGATATCATTGTTAGTGCCTAGGGTTTTGGAACATATGAGGCAACATGTTTTCCTCCAGGCAAATCCAAGTGTGTCAGCCCTGTAGGTGATTGGCCAGCTTGAGCCCTGTGGAAAACCGGGAAGCAATGAGTGGCTGATTGAGCTCACCTGCGTCTATAAAAGACTGACTGTGATTCGGCGTGGCTGCTTTAGACTGAGAGCACAGTCCGCCAATTCGGCCCACTTTGTTTTAAACTGTGTGTGTAAAGCCGAGCACTGTCCATTCCCTCTTGCTTGTTCTGGGGAGGTTAGCTGAGTAGGGTTTAATGTATTGGGTGAACCTGACCATTTTGTGGCCTTTGCGTTTTTTAATTTCACACTATTTTCACTGTGTTGAATGGAATATAGCCAAAGTTCCTTAAATGAGCTTAAATGGCTGAGATACAGACATACATTATTTGTCGAACCTCGTGGTCAATTTCTGCCCCATTGAAAATAAACGCTAATTTTCATTGCACAATTATTTTAACTAGGGTAAATTCTCTAAGTGAGGGTGACACTTTGGAGTCCGGGCCTTAAAATTGTAAGGCCCGGAGGCGCAAAACAAAGAAGCGCCGGGGGAAACGTGCTGGCGTTCGGAACTTTTTTGATACATTTCACTGTGTGTTGTACTTGTATAACTATGCATGTTACAAAAAAAATGAATCTTGAATCTTATTATTCACATGTGCTATGTGACCTGTCGTGCCAAATTAGAGACGAAGAGGAGGATGCAGGAGGAAGCAGAGACGAAGAAGAGGATGCAGTAGGAGGCAGAGATGGAGAGGAGGATGCAGGAGGAAGCAGAGATGAAGAGGAGGATGCAGGAGGCTGACAGAGGGAAGATGTTGGTACAGGCTCTAAATGAAGAATAAATTTCTTGTTTAGAGCCTCTGGGTCTGGGAGTGGTCTAGCATCGACATTGTCAGGAGAGGATGGTCCAGCTGCTGGTGTCGAACTTTTGTCGAAAAGTATTTATGGTGACCAAACCTGTAAATGTATGATAAAATCCATCTTGAAATGTTTTGTCTCTCAGTTAATAGCTGATTAAATTAAAAATCAGAAGTAGCTTAAATAAAAATAGTTGAAATTTTTTCTAGTTTGATGTCTTTAGTGTGATGATGTTATTCTGATGTGAATAACTTTTTTATTTATGGTCTTTTATAAATAAATATTTTATGAGTTTATACATGTCTTGTTAGTTTCTTACTTCATGATATACAAGAAAACATTGACAACTGTGATTAATAAAGAATTGTCTAGCAGACCAACCACTTATTAGATCAAAACTTTTAAACTTACTGACAACTGGGCTGAATTAACCACCCTGCTCGCATTTCTGTTTTTTTTTAACAGAGGCAGCCCAGTTACTGTTTTTAAACTGTTCTTGTTTTTTTTCAATCCCTCCTTTACGTTCAGGCTGCCCAGGCATCCACTGCATGTCTTCCTGTTGCAGGTGTTTGGAGCCTGACAGGAAGGGCATGGTTTGGTTTTTGGCTTTGTCATTTCTGCAAATGAAAATGGAACATGTAGGGATTATTTCAGGTCTGTTTTGGTGAAATGATTACAAAAATAATTTGTGACCAAAGAAATAACTTATATTACGAGACAGTATTACACCATATTTAGAAAAATCAATTATGAGATTAAAATTATTAATATTGCGTTAATTACGAGAATAGGGTTAAAAAAAAACAGAATTAATTACAGAAAAGATACATTGCTAAAATAGAGCAGTACTAACATTAGCTGGGTGGCCAAGCAAGTGTCTTACACATGAGAATACATCACAAAAAAAAATTAAATAAACTTTTGCAGAAGTAGTTCTCTTGGTACACAGACTGCTCTGTGAAAACATTTCAAGTTTAATATCAGTTTAATATCACTGAAATTAATATTTCGGTGAACATGCAAATTACCCACAGTTTATCACAACTTACTTAGCTAGGATCTGCCTCGTGTCGAGTCGAAAAATTCGCAGCAGGACCGTGAGTTGAAAGATACATTTACTACGACTCCCAAGATGCATTGCAGTAAAAAGCATCCAATCGCCTTGCTTAAGACCTGTTGACGTGTCGCTAAAGGCGCGCTGTAGATAAATATTGCAATTTGTAAAAAATAAAATGAAATAAAAAAATTAAATTTGCAATTTGTAATTACATAATTAAACACTGGGCCAGTTTATTTTCGTATTATCGCTGGTTATTATTTTAGAGTAAATAAAGGAATAACGGGTAGCACCAAGCTGTTGACTAACCTCATTTCCATAGCAACGGCGGTTGAGGATTATTGGTAGTGTGCAGTTACGGGATTAGTGCGCCGTCTGCGTAAATTGGTCTGATTGGTTGGAGCCGAGCGCATCCAAAACTAACAGGAGTGGTGAATGAATCTATAAATGTGTCTTACGTGTGAAATGAAAATAATAAACCTTACAAAGGATTATGTACGTTAAATCTGCGCACTTTCAGATCGTGAATCACTTTGGAAAACACTGTGTGATGGCCACAACATGAAGCGATTTTATTGTTGAATTATCAGTGATACTTTCATGTGTTTTTGATGAGAAATGTTAACGATGTCATTAAAAGAATGCATTACATTAGGGAGAAAAACACATTCGCTTAGAGGGTCCCCGGTTCTCCAGTTAGATTGTACTTCAAGGCGCCATTTTTCGCCGTGACGGGGTTATTATTGGAGTAAATGGATGGCTCGAGCCTCTGCTTGAAGCGTCTCTTATCGCCGCGAGCGGGTTCATATTGGAATGAATTGATAACCCACCGCATCTCATAAAAACGTGGAAGGGTACCTTTAGCGTCAGCATGAGAGGTTAAGGGACGTGACAAATCGTCAGTATTTTACGCGTCGGGAGTGAGAACGGGTTGGGAAGCGCATTCCAAAGTCTCGGGGCTGTCACGATCCTGGGTCTTTTGACCCAATGTTTTAAGTTTTAGTTTATGTTTGATGTTTATGGTTCATTTTTAAGTTCTTTAGGTTATCTGAGCTCATTTGTTTATTTCAATTCCCCTTGTGTCTTCTACAGTTGTGTTTTAGTCTCCATTTGGCCTTTATGTGTTCAAGCTGTATGTCTTATTTTGTCAAGTTTATATTATCAAGTTTATATGTCTGCGTCTCATGTTTCCTGTTTTATTTTGAAAGTCTGTCCTAGTTCAGCATAGTCAGCTTTGCTTCCTTTGTCTCGTTATGTCAGATTAGTGTCAGCTGTCTCCCCATGTGTTTTCACTTCCCCTAATCACCCTTTGTGTATTTAGTATTTAGTCCTGTTTCTGTTCATTCCTTGTCAGGTCATCTGTTGCGCCACGTCATTTTTCTAGGATTTTCCATGTTTAGGTTTTTTGCAACGTTCAGGGTTTTGTTCTTTACCTTTTGTGTTTAGCATTTAGTTTTCCCAGTTTAGTTCTAGTTATTTTCTTTCTTGTGTGCATCTGCCTTTTGTTTTTCTACTTTTTTCATCAGCCAAAATAAACGGCTCGCTTTTTGTTGATACCCAAGTTCCTTTGTGTATTTATTTTGGG